ACCACTGCCGGGCCCTCCAGTTTGGAACTGCCGTATAAACCGAAAAGTAATTTAATTAATAACACGACGACCGCTAAGAATCATATGAAGAGATCGAAACATAAGGACGATTTGGCCGCCGATGACAACGAGTCTTACAATTTGTCTAATGATAGTTCAATTATATGGGATTCGCCTATAAATACGTTGGATTGCGATAACTCTATGTCTGAATTGGTTCGACAAACGGAGATCTTTGCGGAGAAATCTTTTGAACGTAAACTGAAGAACAGAACCAAATCTAACGAACAGTCGATGTATTCTTTCGCCCAAAATCGTGATCCTTTACTGTCTAACAGTTGGTCACAACTGAGATCAGCCACACCTCCGGCCTCTACTGCTCACCATCTGATTGACGAGTCGTTATTGGAGAGAAGAACGCCTCCCATTCGGTTCACACAAGCGGTCGAACGGCCCATACCATCGAATCCATGGCACACAACAGATGTGAATCAACTTAATGTCAACACTTTGGACAACGAATTGAATCAATTGAGAGAAACGTCTTCGCCGTGGAATTCCCAGAACTATAGCTCATCGCAAACGGGACAACAATCGCAGAAAGCAAACAATTGGAACTTTTCGGACGCAATTGAATCCACGAAAGATCTCTGGAACAGTCCTAAGTGGTCGTCACCGCCGACGACAGTCACTTCTAATTCTAGTCAATCGACAACTTCTCTATGGAACGACTCGTACGCTAACAACTTATGGAACGCAAGCGGAGCGCCCAATGAATTGCCCAACACTTGGGGTGACTTCTCCACAGTGAGCGCCGACAACGGGGTATCGAGTCTTATAAGCGGTGACAACAATTCGGACAGTCATTCAATATCCGATTCAATGGACTCTGCCTTCAATCTGTTCGGGCGCTCGCTATGGAGTCCGTTGTCGACCACCACTGCCGCCGCCGCTCCCAACACAAGCCTAAGCGTCACAAATACTACCCAAATCGCTAGTGAGTCGACCGCCACTCCATCCTCGACCTGGTCTTTCACTCCATTCTCTCTCTTTGGCTCCTCTTCTCAGAACCAATACAACACTAATAGTGAACACAAATAAATTAAATTAAAATTAAACCACAAAAACGCCTGAATTAAAGACCAAAATATGTTTATTATTTGAATAAAAAATATTTGTTCACAAAAAATTGTTAACAATTTAGAGAGAAATAAATAAAATATTTAAAACAAGTATTGCTTTCAAACCCGTTGTAAACAGTTTCATATATCACAACAATTTCGTTATAAAGTTTAAAATACTGTCAAATTATGTTTGCCTTTGTGTTTCGTCCGAATCGTTGTTTTTGTCACTTTTATGGTCAGAGATGACAGTCTTTCCGGTTTCAAGTGCTGTTCGCTTAGCGATGGCTTTGGGGCCCAAATGCTGGACGTTCTGGAAAGCGACAGCTGTGTTGCCCGCAGTATATAAGGCCTCTTCTGTGGCGGCGGCCGACTGTTGGCCGTACTTATGGTTTACTAAAACCACGGTCTCGTCGGCTACTGTTTTGGCCAAGAGTTTCACATTTTCAGTGATCCCATTATAGAGAGTACCGAAACCATGTAGTGTTCCGGAGGCCACTGTGAAGATATTGTCGCATATCTGATCCGATTCGTTGTCCGTCTTTCCCGACACGTTTGAAATCAGTTTCTTGGACTGCCTTTTGATATGCGGTGCCAAACATTTGCCCAATTGATTGGTTCCTTTGGCAACAGTGGTCACCGCATAACCCGTTACCGAAGCGGCCGTCGATGACGCTCTTCGAAGTCCGTGTAAACTACTGATAATTCTGGGGTCGATCTCAGGGTTCTCAGTCGGTTCCGACGGCTGACCACTTCTCAGATGAGCGGCTCCTCGTTTGACCAATTCGTTAGCCTTTTGTGTGCCATAAGTGATGCCACTGTTTAGCAGTTCCGCGCCGTACACTATAT